TAGCCCACCACCAACCCCAGGTTCTCCCCCAAGGTTTCCCGGTGGAAACTTGTTTCGCTAGCATACGCTAGCTAGAAAAGAAACTTCAAGCAAAGTTCACTTGCGTTAGCACTTTAGCTTGCTACCAAACACTTGTCGTGTTTTCCGAACAACGGCAAAGCCTTAGCTAAAGACGCTCCGTTCTTTTTAGCTTGGTGGCGAAAGTCCGCTCACTGTAACTACGGAGTGAAGCCTCTAGCGACCCGCTAGCCATCAACTCCTTGTAGCCCCAAAGAAGTCTCTAGCTTTCAGCTAGCCATCTCCCTACCAGGGCTTTAGCTTTCGGAGCTTCTCGGACTTTCTGACCTTCAAAGGTCCAGCTTTGCCCTGTCGCTTAAAATGTAGCAGCTCTTGGTAAAAACCGTTGGCGCGCCCCAAAAGTTTATCTAGCACTCGCCACTGGATATCCTCGCCCTTCAAGGGAATCCGAAAATCAGGGCTAAATTCCTTGAAGTTCTCATTAGTGAGGTCATCCGCTAACTGGTTAGCATCTCTCCTGATCCACGTCAGGCCTAGCTCGCAAGACTTGCAAGCCAGCTCTTCGGCCAGCTCTAGCAGGACTAGCATTGGAAATTTGGTAGTCATCGCTTGCTTAACAAGGGTGGTTGTCCGTGTAGCCTCTGATAGCTAGCTTCGAAACTTGCCGGTCCTTGGAATCTGGGACCCAAAGTTTCACGGCTATCAAAGTCGCTAGCAATTCTAGCGAGGCGATAACTTTATTCGGGCTATCTTTGGAAAAAGCCCAAGGTGCCCATTATCTCGTAACTTCGAAGAAAAAAACCACGGACCGTGGCACCCAGGCACTATTTCTCGGAAACCTCCTATCCAGGCGGGGCCGTTCAGCGAAGAAAACTATCTCCTCATCGGTTGGAGGTGGCCGGCAAGGCCTCTGCAGGCGGTCCCTTTTCCAGCCTATCAGCTAGCCAGGCATATAGCGGGCCAAGAAACGGCCTCTCCCAGTCCAACAGAATAGGCGAAGCCTAACCGGCCTAGGTCTCTAGCAGTGACTTGGCCCTGTCTAACCTTCTCCCTTAGCCAGTTAACTAGCCAGGAAGCTCGCTTGTGAGTGAGGTCTAGCTTGTAGCTGGAGTACTCCGTCTCCATGCTTAGCCATTCCACCTTCCATGGCGGACAAGTAGAGGTAGCTGAGGACTATCCCCATCCTCCCCCTAGCCGTAGTAGCCAGGGACTCCAAGTCATCGGCGTAGAGGAGGAGGAGCAGGCGGCGCGTGGCTACCCGCAGCAGCTATCCTCGTCCACCAGTTGACCGCGAAGGTGCCCACTTTGTTAATGTAGACAATATCGCTAGCTTCGTCTATCTGGCAGCCCAGGAAGCCGTGCTCCTCCTCGCAATGTTTGATGCGCCGATGGGCCTTCGAAATGTCGCCCACAACCGGAAAGGCGACCTCTCTTCGCTCCATCCTGTGGGTAGCGTCGTGGATTAGCCTTTTCTTGCCACGATGACAGCTAGCGCAACTATAGCAGAGTTATCGCCATAGCGGTGGCGGAAGCTTTTCATGGACATCTTCTCCATGAGCCCTTCCGCTATCTCTTCTTCAAACTTCTCCTTGACGAATCGGCGAAGTCGCTGCACTCACTTCGCCTGTTCCTCAAAAACATGAGGTGTTCTCGGTAGCGGCTCCAAGATGCCTACAGGAAGGCCTCTCTCGGCTCTCAGTAGGAAGTCTCTATCTGGGTCGTCCCTGCCTGTAGTGTAGCTCGAATCAGTCTCAAGCGTAGCGGCTGCCCAGAAGCCCTCTCTAGCAGGCCTTGGGTGCCCAGGTCCTGGGCCTGTATCCAGTCGCCCACTCCTGTGGCTCGCTATTTTTAACCAGTTTGCAACCTTCCTCGCCACTCGAAGCCATGCGGAAGGCCTCCTTCTCTAGCGTCGCAGGACCACCGGCAAAGTTCAAGATGGTCGGCTAGCTCGCGTCTCTCGTGCTCTGTAGCCATGGCCACATCGCTAGCCACAGTCCCTTCGTACTGTTGTTGCACTTTGCAGGACCCCTTCGCAGCTGACGTAGCAGAAGAAGTGCATGTAGTCACTAGCATCGCGGCTATCCGTTGGCACCTTCGCTGGCCATTTCTCCGTGTCCGAGGGCTTGAAAGGCCCCGTGCTCTGTCTAGCCCTAATGGAACCCATCCCTTTAGCCATGGGTAGGGGGCCAGTATAGTAGCCTTTAGCATAAAAAGTGGGGACCCCTAAATGGCAGAAGGGTGGGAGGCCCAGCGTAGTTTTAACTAGCGATCGAGTCGGTTTAGGGTAGCTGGCGCCTAAATTCCCTTGGTGAAAAGAAAAAGTCTTGAATCCTGAATAGCCGAGGATCTTATCTCGCTGTGGCCATTGCCACATTGACGCTGGTCTCCAGCCAGCGCGGGGGCCATAGCTCGTAGCTCCCAAGTCCTCGGGCTGTTCTAGCAGGGCGAAGGCCATATCTAGCTGCGCCGCTAGCTCCAAGACTTCCCAGGTGAAGTCTGCGAAGATGTTACCCAGGATGCGTTTCTTTCGTACTGCTCCGGTGAGGGTATCAAAACCTCGCGGATTTCTAACTGGGCGTGGGCCCTTGAAGTTAGCCCAAGGGGCTCTAGAAAAAGTAGAGCATGGAGGCGAAAGCAGTATAGCGTCATACGCCCCCTCTCGTATCGCTTGCAGTAGCTTGTTCCTCTCCTTGGTCTTGGAGAGGTCGATTCTAGGTTTTCGCTGAATATCGATGCAGTCGATCTGGATGTCGACTCCTTGCTCTTAGCCTAGCTTTGTAAGGCAGTCTCGCATTTCCCGCGAACAGATACAGAACTCGTATCTTGCGCTTGGTCTGCTGTCAGGCCGCACCCTCGCCTTGAGTGCCCTTAGCACTAGCCTTGCCCTGGTAGGCTGGGCGCTTAGCAAACATAGCTGGCAAACGTGCGCGAAGTGGCACTTATCTTTCTTCTTGCAGCCAGCTTTGCTGTTGAAGCGGAAGCAAATCGGCTTATCGTCAGGTGTCCTGGAGGACCCCTTAGCTGTAGCCGTAGCTTTGCCCTTTCCAGAGCCCACGGTTAGCATTATCCCAGTTGCCTGGAGGCGGCGGCAGCGTCCGCTTAGCATATAGCGCTAGCGGAGTGATAAAGTGTCTCTCCTTGACGCTAGCTCCTCCCAGGACTTTTTCAGGGCAGCGCCTAACTGCAACCCCTCCTGGGTAACTAGCTTGCACGCATACTTGCGGATAGCATGCTCATAGCTGAGGACCAAGGTCCAAGGAGGGATAGTGGCTCCCGCGGATTCTGCTGCGCGTAGCCCGTAGCATGTAGCAGTAGCCGCCTAGCAGGTATTCCTTGTAGGTCTCGAAAAGGTCCGCGCCCACATCCTTGATCTCATGCCGCTGAGTATGCTTTAGCTTCAGCATCCGGATAGCGTTGCACATAACAGTCAGCCTTAGCCGTAGCTGTTCTGGGCCAGATGGCATAGCGACCGACGAGCCTTTCTTGACAGAAATGTGGCCCTTGCTATCCCAAACCGGTAGCAGAACGTCGGGGTCAACCTCGTCCCGACTAACTGACTATCTCGCTGAGGGCTTCTGCCCTGAACTCGCCGCCCTCTAGCTCGCTTAGCTTTTTCTCGACGTACTCCTTGGAAAGGGCACGCGCTTATCTTCGGGCTCGCCAAAGGCCTTAGCGAAGGCCTGTCTCATAGCCAAATATTCTGACATCGGGATTGGCTTGGTCCAGTCCCG